ATTTTCCACCCTTACCAGCTCCAATTGTGATTTATCCAGAGATGGTTTTTTTTCCAGTGATAAGACAATGGAGCAGCACATTCTTCCCTGAATATGAAAGTCAAAGCCTCTGTCTCAAATTGAAACTATTCTTTTGGCAGAGTAGCAGAGGAAAGATAAGTCACATTTGCAGTGTCCAGGGTATCAAACGAAGGATTAGTGTATTCAGTTTCAAATTAACCTCATTAGAATACATGACTGCAAAATCTCTTTTGAAAAATTACTTCAAAACTGAACTTTACTCCAGAGAAATGGCTGGAATTTGACCTCTAATAGCTTTATTTCTGTCCCCTTTTACTTTAATTCATTGTGATGTCATCAATAAGTATAATAGTCTGTGTCTTCTGCCAAAATACTTCATAAAGTGTTATCTGTCTTCCAGGGCACTTGGGGAGGGGAGTTCTGCTTGTTTAAAACTTAAGTGAATTAAAGAAGAAAATAGATATTATAAAGAACATGTATTTTATGATTTAAACAGTCTGAGGACTTGTTAAGAATTAAGAACTGTTTTATTGGTCTTTCATTGCCAATTCATTTACATCACTAATTATCTTGCAGAAATAAAACTGCTCCATGAAGGCTCAGATCCTGGATCACAGCCTGCAGCTTCACAGTCATATCTGCCCAAGGGAATTTTAGCACAATATTCCCCTAGGTGCTACAATTGGGTCAGCAGCTCTCCTGGGAGCTCAGACAGGGCTCTGTGGGAGTTGGGCAGCTTTAGCACTGCTCATAGCAGACACCATCCAGGGAACAGGAAGGGAATATCTATTTATTTTCTCCAGGCAGATTATGGAGCAGGAGCAGATCTGTATAATGACTTTTCTGCTCCATAGTTCCCCAAGGCTCTTGCTCAGCTGGAAGAAAGGGTGCATGAGTCAGCAGTCTGGTTCTGTCCTTAAGGTGTCCATATCCTGTACACTATTTAGGCAATAAAACTGTAAGAATTTTCATGGAGATTCATGATATGTGGTGATGAACATACTTCACTGCCTTTTCCAGAATAAAAAGCTGTCAGTGTAGCAAGAAGGATAACTGTAACAGCACAGACTTTGAGGAGCAATTTTTTTCCTTCTTTTCTTGAAACTATGGATTGAGCTTATTCGGTGTTATCTGGCTCTCTCACCTGTTCCAGCTCCAGTAGCAGGGCTCTGTTTAGTTTGCAAGGTTCAAGGTTAGCTTGAGGGTGGGCTCAGACCATGGTCAAGAAATGTAAACATATGAAAGGCACGTGAACACACTTGGGAAATGCCATATGGTGTTCTTCCTCCTCCCCATTCTTGCTAGTGAAAGCCCAGTGATATTTTTGCAGTGAATTCTCTAGGAAAGCACAGATAAACACCTAGACAAAAACTGCAGCATAGCCAGGATCAAGCTCAGATGAGAGTTTATCCCTCCTCTGAAAGCCTTAACCAGACAAAGTTTACGTTGGACTGGTGTTTGCTGACTTATTGTTTCTGCCTGTCTTTTGTGAATCATGGAAGGAAACAACATCTCAGTGCTCTCAGAGATGCATCCAGGCTGCTTTAACCTGTTCATAGAGGCTCTTGGGGTATGTCTGCCTAGCATAGTAAAGATACCTGTTCTGGCTACAAGCAAGCTTGCTCCAGAGCCAGAAGCAATACAAGTGTGTCAGTGAGGCTTTGCATAAGACTCATTGTCATCTGCTGCTATGTCTGTGTGGCCACAATCTGGGCAGTACAGCCCTACTGCCTTGTTCAGGAGAATGGAGGTAATTCTCTAACAGGTCTGCCCTGTGGAGCACAAAGTTTTTCTGTCCTCATGTATGCTTAGGATTTCTCCTAACTTCATTTTTGGCAAATGCATCAGCTAATTGTTTTCTTTCATTTCAACAGAATGAACACATCCTTCCCACCAGAGAAATCAACCCTCACTTTCTCTAGCAGTGCTGAACTACAGTCATATAATGGGAGAGTTGGGGATCTCCCAATATCTCAGTTCTGGTAAAAGAGACTAACATCCATCAGTCAGGTATAATGTAATGCCCATGTTCTTGCTCTAGAGGTCCTATTCTGAAAACCCAAAAAGCCCAGCATTGTGCAGGATTGTCCTGGAAGCCCTGCTGCCTACTGAGAATGGCTGCTCTCAGTCCTTTTCTCCCCAGCAATGCTACTAGTCCAGAACTTTCTCCTGAAATTCTAAAGATTTCATTTTTTTTAGACTGTTATTTGGTTTACTTGTCTGAAAATTTCCCTGGTAAAAGCAGTGTTTGCTCTTACCTCCTTTCCTGCTTCCTCAGCCATGGAGGGGACACACAGGCCATTTGACTTGTACCTCTTGCCATCCTGGTGCATGTGGGTAAGTTGCAGAGGTGACCCAAAGTCACCTAAGTCAAGGTTAAAATTTCTGTTTGTAGTCACATTTCCGAAGGTAAAGCTCACCCACCTCTTTTCCTTAATTCCTCTCCCTGCTTCTTTTCTTTTCACACTTTCAGGCACAGCTCTATGAGAAGCTGGTTTCAGTGATGATGTAGATTTAAATGGTTTGCATTTGGTCTCACTCCCACTCTGCATTTCTCTGTTTAGCTGTGATCCTACAACTGTGTGTGGGCTTGTGTTAGAAACCAGATCACTGGACCAGATACAACAGCTATACAGGTGGGAATGGGGGAGAGAGGGAGGGAAGGAAGGAAGGAAGGAAGGAAGGAAGGAAGGAAGGAAGGAAGGAAGGAAGGAAGGAAGGAAGGAAGGAAGGAAGGACCTGTTAAATTGACATCAGGTTCTTTTAAAGGACGCACCTTCCTTCTCTCCATGCATGGCTTTCTCTCCCTCCTTCTCTATCTTTAGCCACCTGAGCAGTCCCACCTGCGACTTGTAGATCACATTTCTTGTAACCAGCTCTTCACATCCTGTGGGTACAGATGTATGCACATCATGTTAATAGAGCAAAGTCTTCTGTCTTTGTCTTGTACACCTTTTCACCACTACAGAGAAAGGTGTATTTGTGCTATTATTGGGGCATGCAGCACACAGAACACGAGCAGCACGTCAGGTTAAACCAATTACAGCTCTGAATTGTAAGGAGGATATGTTTTCAGGCAAGTGAGTTAGCCTCTGACTGCTCATGGGGATGTTGGGTGGTTTAACGATAGAATTTTCACATGACCAGAATTTCATTACATCATTTGTTAATATATAGAATACCACAAGGGAGTTCTACTTTATTTAACATAGTAACAATGAACAGCTGGCTGCATTACAGTCCTCTGTGTCAGCGAGGATACAGTCAAAATATATTAGTCTAGCTTAAAACATTCAAATTACTCTTTTGTAGGTTGGCCAGTATGCCTCGTGACTGAGCAAAACAAGGAAAGGACAACTCAATAGTGGAAATAAAATGTCAAACATAATGAGAGCCTGAGTGCTAAGCAGAAAAAATGTTGGCATGAAGGGTGCTAGAGGGATTTAACCTATTTAAGACATAGATTAGAAAGGTATCTAGTTTCCAGGACTGCTCTGTTGCCTACCAGGACTTTAAGCCAAGAGTTATATATGATACAATGTTGATAACCCTATTCTGATAAAATTATGATTTTACTTGCCTGAAAATTCCAGTGTTAAAAATGTCAGCTATTAGCTCCTTTTATACATCCGTGAGCTTACTAGGGACATTTGATCATTCCCAGCTACTGGCATTGCCTGCTCTTTTAGGGTCATTCTGCACCACCTCTCCTCCCTTGCCCTCCAGCCATATCAGACAGCATCATTGCTGCTGCAGGGAGTGCACTAAGCATCTCTGACAATTTTGATACGTGTTATATAGAGAAGTATAGAACCTTCTGCACACTAGCACTGTGTGATGTGTCCCAGAAGTTGGTATGTGCAGTTACAGCTCCTGTCATGGCTAACAGACTGTGCTACATTAGCTGCTTCTTTCTTGTTCACTCCTGTGCAGCCTTCATCAAATTTCCTAATTTTTCCAAATCTCAGCTCACCAACTGGAGAATTAGGTTGAAGCATAATTTTCTCACATGTTTTGACAGATGGACAGAGTTCTGTGATCTATTCCATAGCAAAGCAAAAATGCTCTTCACAAAGTCCTATTTTTGTGGGATTTTTAGTGAAGTTTACTGAAGAATATACAGTATTATACAAGTTTATAATAGGAAGAAGGGGACTTGGATGTCATTTCTTGCCAGTTTGTGGTATTACCCACAGACCTTTTCAGAGTGCTTTGCAAATGTAGTTTTACAAGCTGTAAAGGACATTGTGTTCCCACAGTCACTATAAAAGATGTTTCTGTAATATTGAAACATGGGATTGACAGGAAGCTTTTTCTGATGATTGGCCCGACTTTTTTGTGTTTTAAGTATGCATATTTATACTTTTGCATTTGTATTTCTCTAATAGCCAATAGAATAACACTGTCATTAGCTTTTCTTGCCATTAGGCACAGCTAGACATATCCAGCATGTCCAGTCATACAGTAGCTGATTTCTTTGGGCATTGGTGTTTGCAGTGGTTTTTCCCCAGCTCACCTGCTATTTTGCTTTGGAGACAAACAGCCAGAAAGAAGTAAGAGTTTCCAGATTTGGCCTTACAAACCACTGAATGAACAGCCAGTTGGGGTTTTGTTCCACTATTAAATGCAACTTAGTCATACTTAAATTCCCAGACAAAAGAGGATTCAAATTGGGAAGGAAAGAAAGAAAAGCAAGATGCAACAATAGCCTTGGGATATCACCTTCAAATAAGGTTGCCAACAAGATGTCCCAGTTTAAGGTTGAACAATTGGGAAAAGGACTGAATGATGTCTTACAGATTATTTTTTTTCCTTCACAAACTCTCTTCTGATCTGTGAAAGACACTGAGTGGGAAATGCTTTCCTCAGCCCCAACTGAATTGAAACAAAATTCATTTTTACAGTTCCTCTGAAACAAATACAAAGAGACTGACATTGCCTTACATCTGACAGCCACTGGTGAGGAAAGGGAGGAGTGAAGGTGGTCAGGGTGGGTGTAATCTGCCTCCTGCATTGACTCTCTGCTGCTTGAGTCCATAACTGACAAACGCACTTCTGGAAAAGGACTGGAAAACACGAAATGCAAAGGTTCTGCCAGCCTTCAGCAAGAAAATCACATTCTTGCCTTTCAAGCAAGAGACACTGAAGCACAAAGCTGCTATTCTTAAACACAGCTCCTTGTGCAGAGGTGTTAAAATGGTTTATTTAGCTAAGAGGAACATGACTAGAATCTGTATGAAGGAAGGTGCCTGCTTCCTGCAGCATCCCAGCTGAGGAGGCAGGCAGGACACATGGGTGCTGCTCAAGAAGGGATGAAAACAGTAAGTTGACTCTGCTGGGTCTTTTGATTGGAATGAGTGAATTAGAATAAGAGATGTAGTATTTCATGTTGGCTCAAACATTTAAATTACAGAGAGGACACAAATGTGATGAAAATTGTATTGTCTTCAGAATCATGGAGTGATTTATTATGTTTCTTGTGTGACAGCAAATGCTGCAATTAACACTGCACTATAAAAACACGTGTCACAAGAGCTATTTTTAAGGTCCTCCAACTCTTCCCCAAATTCTCCTTTTAAGCTTTCTGGCTTCCTGTAACAGGTGATTCACAAGCCCTTATTAAGCTCATTTAAAAAACAACAAAAAAACCCTTGTAGAAATTGAAGTAAAACACATACTCTGATTCCAGGTGAGTCACTTAACAAAAATAGGTTTAGAAACAGCACAGTAGGGTTCAAGGGGAAAAAGTATCTCATATGTAGCATTTTCCATGCCTACATTTTTTTGGATAAAGGACAGCTTAACACAGTTTTTGCCTAAAATTAGGCATCCTAAATGTTCTAGCACTGAAGAGCTAATGTGTATTGCCTGATAATCCCCTTTTGCAATTTAGCATTGCCATTATAATAAGGCTTTGATGCGTCATATCACTTTATTGTCACTCTCTGGTACTTGCTTAAGTGAATGTTTTGCTATATAGGGATGAAGATGAGCATGTGCTTAACTGATGGGTTGAGTCACTTCATCTATCTGCAATATTTCTGTAAATGCAGTACCATAACATTTCATCCTGGGGCATTCTGGTGCTCAGCAAGAGCTGATCCCAGGTGGGCTCACCTGCCTGCTGGGAGGACACACAGTAGTTAGAGCTGTAGTGCTAAATAGCTTGCAAGTAAAACATTTAATAAACCAGACTGTCTTTAGCATCCATGTTTTCATTGCAGCTGTTTCCCAGGCACCAAAAGTTTAGTTTAGTTTTTGAAAGAGACACCACAGGTATAAACTAGAGCAAAACTTTTTATTATTTGTAAATGTTACCTGTTTTATTGCTGAAGAACAGTATCAAAACTTCACACAGGATATTGAATTCACTGCTGGTAGGGGAAAATGATCCATCCTCCCTGTGCAGAAAGCATTACGTCACGAAGGGATGGAAACGAGCTCTGAGGGACTGGGATAGGCAAACTTCCCTCCTTTCACAGGAAATGGGTGAAGCCTTGCTTGAAATTATTATTCAGACGTTTTGTGCTGTGAAGGAAATGTCTCCTGATAGCACAAGCTATTGGTTTCCTGTTGTGAACTAACAGTTTTGGCATAACCAAGAATGGACAGGAAGGGCAAATGATTGGGGGTCATTGGAAGAACTTGTTTTAATGAAAAGACCAGCCCAAGTAAGCAGGAAGAAATTTGGCCTGAAAAAAAAAATTGACATTAAATTGGGGGTGGGGGGGAGTAGGGAGAGAAGGGAGTAAATCTTTGTGGAGATAAAGAAAGAAATAAAGAAACAACAAAAGAAGTCCCACATGAAATGTTCACAGGGTTAGCAGAAAGGTGGGGGCACACTGTTGTTGGGCAGGAAGTATCACAGGGGGTGAAAGCCCTTTGTGTCCTACCTAATTAAGAGTCTGATTCAACAAATATATATCCGGTTCTACACTGAGGAAAGCCATTTTGGGAATTTTTCACAGATGCGGAATTGTGGGGTTTTTTTCAAACAGGACCTTGTAACAGAGGCACTTTCAAGTGCTATTTTTCAACCAGAGTGTATAAATAGCAGTGCCAGCAGGTCCCTGCACTGCCCCAGCACTGGCCCAGCTGACTGTGCCTTCCCATCGAAGCACACACAGGCAAAGGGAAAGGCACACGACATGTTCCTGCCTTGGGTCTTCTTCCCAGCCTGCTGTGAGAGCAGAGAGGAGGTGGCTTCCCCTTGGCTTTCCTGAGGTTTTTGGGGATCTGTACCACCTTCACAAGTTGCTAATGCTGTGCCAGGATTGCCCTCACACCTGCACTGCTGTCTCAGTCACTCTGGCTCTTCTCTCAAGAGGACAGCACAGAAACATTGGGTGCCTCAGGTCTAGTTACAGCTCCAGAGGTCCTACAGAGCCTTCATCCTGGAGCATGTACTGATGGCTCCGTCCCAGGGGCTGGTGACTCCTTTGTTGCAGGCTGGAGGGCATGGCAGGGAACACTCACCAACACTCTGTCCTGCTGCAATGCCTGGGCAGAGTTTCTTACAGAATTTCATTGTCATAGAATCATAGAATCATAGAACTTAAGGGTTGGAATGGGCCTTACAGATCAAAGGTCAGGAGCAAACCCAGTAAATTTAACCATCTCTTCAGTATCACTGACTTCTTCTTAAGATGGAGCCTGATGTTCATGTCAAGCATTCAGAATGCTTAAAGGCTATTTCTAAACCTTCTTGGATTTTTGTGTTGTGTGCTTTTGGCAGCAATCATTCTCACCCTTGCAAAGATTATTTTGATTGTATGGGAGTTCAGGTTGGAGAAAATGTTTGCCTTGTTCAGAAAACAAAACATGAAAGGAGTCACTTGGTGTTTGCTGATTCTTAAAAGGCTGCCCCAAAGTGTTTTTTATGATGCC